TTAGGCATTCTACACATCATATTACAGTTTGAAAGCTTTTCTCTTTCTTCTTGATTTGATTTACACTCTTGTGGAACTACTGTAATCTGTCGCCTCAAAATTGCCGTTATGTTGTTCTCGGTTGTGAAAGTTTTGAAACTTTTTAGCTTGTATGTATAATTATGTTTTCTTTTCTCATTGCTCGTAACTTGTATTTGATTCAAAGTTCGATATAACTCATGAATATAATTTTCTTGCTGCAGTAAATTTCTTTTTTACGTTGTAATTTTTTAATGAAAATTTTACATGGAGGCTATGGCCTTTTCCCCAACGCTGTGCTAATTTTTTAACATGGATGTTTATTCTTTGTCATAGACTTTTGCGATCTCTAACCATTATATGTTTTTTAGACTGGGTCTGTAACAACAACCCTTTTGAAGCATAATAAGAGTTTTTAAGTTCTGTGAGAACAAAAGTTCTTTAATTCATCTGTATTCTGACGTGTATGGCAGTTCGAATTTCTAACTGCATTTATACTTATTCGTTGAAGAACGTAAATATTTTTCTTTCTGGTTGCTTACAGGCCGAGTTCTTGTTAATTATGCTTAATAATTCTTTCCCCTCCTTCTGTTTTTAAGGAACGTTAAAATTGATTAAATCATCAAAATTAAGTTCATGTGTTTGACCGAAAATACTGAACACGATATTTGTCGTCGCTTCTCGATGTTCCAAGTAAGGAAATTTATCTAGATGAGATTTCAGTAAACGTAGCCTGCGATTTTTGATCAGGTAACATTTTGGGGGGATGGAGAATTTTTCAATGTGTTTAGCTCGTAAATAATTCTTTCATACCTTAATGTGTCTTATATTTGTAAAATATTCTCATTATGCGACGTTTCTTGGAAATCATAAATTAATACTACCTCATAAATCGTTTTACTAATATTGACGGAACTGCGATATAGATAAAAGGAAAAGGAAAAATTATAAATTTCTGAAATACTTTATTGCTTAGAAAAAAAGCATATCCCTCAAATTGACCTTCACTTAATGCTTGTTTGATATTCCTCATAAGTTACGTTCTTTCATAAATATAAAGCACTTCAGTTTTTAATTTAAAGTTCCACCTAACGAGGCAACTTTTTTTCACTTCTTGTGTAAGGGGGGGGGGAAATCAATCCGTTCAAACTAGTTAAAAAGGAATGACTGAATTCTTATTTTTAGAACCCTTGTAGCATCATCGCTTTTTTAAACAAACCCGCTGTGGGTCTTTTAGTCACCTGGTCTGCGAAAGACGGAAGGAGAGCCAAACCGTGCGTGAGATTCTTAGAAGCGTTTTTCCTGAGAACGCCATGCATCACTTCTCGCAGTTCACTATTTTTTAAAGAAAGGAGTGGAAAATCGGTCGTATATATTGCCACTCCCTTCTCAATGAATGAATGAAATATCATGAAGAAGTTGACTGTGTCAAACCACGGCCAATGTCTAACGCTTTTTAGTGCTGTTCAGGGAGCAACGCCAGGAATTTGTATTTTTATTAGTATTATTTTAAGAAATCGACTTGGCGCTGCAGCAGTATCCTCTTTTATCCTAGTAACATCATTCAGTGAAAGAGCCTGCCCTTAAGGTGTCAAACCTTCTTAATATGTGAGAAAATGAATGGCGTGGTACACATTAAATTTTTACCTGAAATTGGTAAGGAACGTGGTCAGAAATATTAAAATTCTTATTTTTAGAACCCTTGTAGCATCATCGCTTTTTTAAACAAACCCGCTGTGGGTCTTTTAGTCACCTGGTCTGCGAAAGACGGAAGGAGAGCCAAACCGTGCGTGAGATTCTTAGAAGCGTTTTTCCTGAGAACGCCATGCATCACTTCTCGCAGTTCACTATTTTTTAAAGAAAGGAGTGGAAAATCGGTCGTATATATTGCCACTCCCTTCTCAATGAATGAATGAAATATCATGAAGAAGTTGACTGTGTCAAACCACGGCCAACGTCTAACGCTTTTTAGTGCTGTTCAGGGAGCAACGCCAGGAATTTGTATTTTTATTAGTATTATTTTAAGAAATCGACTTGGCGCTGCAGCAGTATCCTCTTTTATCCTAGTAACATCATTCAGTGAAAGAGCCTGCCCTTAAGGTGTCAAACCTTCTTAATATGTGAGAAAATGAATGGCGTGGTACACATTAAATTTTTACCTGAAATTGGTAAGGAACGTGGTCAGAAATATTAAAAACACTTTGTAACATTAAACATGAAAACATTCGTAATTCAGTTAATTTACGCTTTTAGTATTTATTTATGGTACACTGGGGGTTGGAGAAATTTTGGAATGGATGCTTTAGATTATGGCAAAGTACATAATCTAAAGCATCCATCTAGGGTTGTATGCCTAAGAGGAGGAATGCTTTCGTGAAGGACTTTATAAGGAAATCTATCTTGTAGTCACATTGCACATGTGGGAAATCACGAAAACACCCATTTCGCCGGGATTTGAACCAGGGTTGAACTGTCAATGTTCGGCGCTGTAGGCGTTCGGCCGCTGGTGGACGGTGGATTTTGGGGTCAGAGCTGATGGATACTAGTAAACTCATGGTTTTCCCCATGTGTAACGTGTAAACGAGCCAGTTTTCCTTAGAAAGTCCTCCACGAAGGCATCCCTCCCCTTAGGCAGATAGCCCTCGTGTGCTTTGCCATAATTAAATACGCCACACCACACACTAGGAAACTCATTTTTATAATCTTTTGCTACTGAAAGAGAATGAAAATCCTTTCTTTAATATTTATTTCAAAGTTTCTGCTTGCCACAAGCGACCAAGTGGTAAAACCGCTGAACACTAGTAGTTCGATTCGGGTTTATGTCCCAACAAACGGACTATCTGCGTGGGAGTTATCATAGTTTGCCCCATATGTAATGTGACTATGTGTCAATTTCCCCGAAATGTCTTCCACGAAGGCACCCCTCCCCTTATGCAGAGAGCTCTTGCTATCCATTGCTTCTGTTGCGGTAAGATCTTCAGAAACTCAATCTTATTCAGGGCTGAAAAGATAGCAAATAACTTAATTGTTTCATATTTATTGTCTGGCATTAAAAAAATCATTCGTGCTGTGTTAAAGTAACTTATTTTTAACTAAAAACCCAGTATAGCATAATTATTATGCTCAGTATAGCATTATTATTCAGATATAGTATTATTATTATGCAAGTATTTTGCATTAGTGGAATAACTTTCAGAAGTGCAACAGAACTTCAAGTAACTCGTTATTTGCTTTAGCCTTTAATAGCAGATGGTGTATTTATGCATACGTATGAACTCTTCAACTTATGAATCAGTTCTTTTTTGATAATTGGGATTTGGGGATAATTTTAGCTAATACCAAAGCATAGGTCGCAAACAATTTTGTGAGGAGACTGGTAAATTTCGCGAAAAATTCTGAAGATGTTTTTATTTTCACCCATTGGAAGTGGAACGATTGATACTTATTAACTCATAATTATATGTGATAAAATGAATATAATTCCTCATGTTTATATATTATTATTTCATTTAATTATGCTTCTTCCAGGACATTTCTTTTCCTTCCTCTGTACCCTAGAACAACTCTATGCGAATCGCGATTTTAAAATGTCGCGAAAGCTTTATTGTATGACCCATAGAAGCCATTCTTTGACTGTGCGTAGTGTCCTACCGTGTTTTGGCGTATGTTTATTAAGCAGCCTGAAACTGTTTTGTTTATTATAACAAAATACTTGAGATTTAAGCGCTTGAAGGAGTTTGCCTAAGGAGTGGACTTCCATGCGAAATTGATTCACATATATACATATATGTAAAATCGCGAAAATCAAACAAACTTGGAATTGTGTGGAATAAAAATGAGTACTTTAGCATTCACTCGCGTTTTTAGTTACTAAACGGCATTTTTCATCGAATCAATTTAAATGTCCGAATCACTTTTCAAATTGTTGCCCTGGCTCGTATACACGTTACACATGGGGAAAACCACGAAAACGCCCATGCAACCAGCCCGTTCGCGGGATTCGAACCTCCGACCGAACTACCAGTGTTCAGCGATTTTACCGCTCGGCCGCTGGTGGGCAAATTAAATAATAAAGAAGAATTTGCATAAATATATGTATATTTCTCGCAATGTGATAAAACAGCGGTTAATCAAGCCATCCAATTTTGAATAACGTACGTTTCCACCCGATTATGTGCATCTGGAAGCCCGAATGTGGAATTTGTTTTATTATCTGTTTCAAATTTTATAAAACTTTGATTAACAAACGAATTTTAACGAATTTTTGATTAACAAACTCAACGATTTAAAATCGAGCAATGGCAACAGTCTACGCAGAGGGGGGGGGGAGACCTTTTTATCTCCAGCGCGCGGAACTGTGTATCGGAAATTCTAAAGATATGCTCATTTCAAAATTATTTTGCGATATTGCTGTTTAACTGAAGTTGTATGATTAAAGTGCGAAGAACATGATATTTAATAAATAAAGGTAACACACAAAACGTTAAAAAAACGTAACGGACGTAATTTAAAATTTGAAACATTTTTAATATTTATTTTTAAGGTAAAGTTTGCAAAATGAAATGTGATGTCGACAGAACACGACCTTCCACCAATTTCATTAAATTAAACAGCAACGAGCTTAAATAAAGTCCCCCCCCCAAAATGCTAAGAATTCTACTTATATGTATCACTAGCTGTAATATATAAACACTGTGTTTTACATTAATTAACACCTGTATTTTAAAATATGGCTTTCGTGATCTGAATACAGTTGAATGCCTTCAGTTGTTCACTTTTTTAATTTTAGCAATGCTTAACAGTTAGTTAATTTTTGCTTGCGAATAAATGTATTTAAAAATGGTGTACTAATTGCATATAATTGTTTTTCGCATACTGTTCGATTATTTCTTTATGGAGAAATATTTTAGAATTTTTTTAATTTAGCTTCATGTGGTAGGCAGCCATTTAAGGTTAATCTATTGTATATTTTGTATTTACAGATTGTTACTCTCTTAAGAAGTTTCAAGCGAGCTGAGAGCATGATGTGAGTATATCTACTGTTTCCTGTTAATAATTCAGTAGGGTCAAATTTATTAACTACTCTCCTTTCGTCTGAAAACCGCCATATTTTAAAAATTAATCTGCTGTATTTTCTGTTACTTCCTAGTATTAATTGTCAATGAAACTGCATTTGTCTGTACTTCACTTAGCTGTCGTTTGGTTGATCTGGTCGATGACATTCCCGGTGATAAACAATGTGGGATTTTTTCATTCTGTTATAGACATGCGAAGGTTTAAATAATTTTAAGAGACGTGAATAAAATTTTTAGAAACGTAAACAAAATTTTTAGAAATAATTAAAAATCTTACTATTAGAAATTTTCAATGGTTTAAATATTTTTATGCAGCTATTTTATAAAAATATATAACACATTAGATATTTGTTCAGAGCTTCTTCGAGTTCCTACAAAATGTACCTTTTTCCATGCTGATGTTATTGATGTCTCCCCCCACCAAGATGACGTCCAAGCATTTGAAATACTATTCGTTATATACCATATTTGCCAGAGTATTAGACGCACCCCCTTTTTTATACACATTTTTAAGGATAAAGCTTTACTACTGATCATTATAATGAATTTATAGTATCCTAAATATAAAATTGAAATAATACTTTCTGCAAATATCCAATCTGCCTGAGAAAGAACATCTTTTAATTTCCTTTGTCAAAACCCAGACGCTTATCTCCAGAGCTAAATGAAGAGTCACTCGAAACCTCTTCTAAATTAGCATCTGAGTCCTCATACAACAAATTGTCCTCTGTACCATCCAATACATTACTAATGCCACACTTCTTAAATGATTTAACCACTGTCTCTGTTTTCACAGCATCCCCATGAAGCTTTGACCCATTCCCAAACTAGCGAAATGCTAGGCCTCTTCCTTCTGCCCGATGGTGTAACCTCAAAACTTGGAAGACGGCATCTAGCTGTTCCACTTCTCTATGTTCCTTAGCATACGCAATCTCACGTAGCTTGTATGCTATGTTATAGCAATGCCGATGTTGTTTCTGAGTTGCCAACAAATAACTTGTATAATTAACTTGCCAAAAAAATTAAGAAAATTGAACGGTAGGAATTTCACACACTTAAATCGACGTATAAGAAGCACCGCGTTTTTCAGACCTATTTTCAAAAAGAAAATATAAAAAATAAAAAAAAAATAAATAAATAAATTAAATTTAAAAAAAAATCTGAAATGTTTCAGATTTTAAATTACGTCCAAAGGGGCGTTTTTTAACATTTTGTGTGTTACCTTTCTTTATTAAATATCATGTTCCTCGCACATAAACCATAAGATCCAGTGCAACAGCAATATCGCAAAAATAGTTTTAAAACGAGCATATCTTTAGAATTTCCGATACAGAGACTCACGCGCTGGAGATAAAAATGTTTTTTTCTGCACAACGTTGCCATTGCTCGCTTTGAAATCCTTGAGTTTGTTTAATCAAAAATTCGTCAAAGTTTTAAAAAATAGGAAATCGATCATAAAACAAATTTCAAATTTCAAATTTGGTCTTCCACATGCTCATATTCGTTGGAGGATTACGTTATTCAAAATTCGATGACTCTATGTACCGTTGTTTTATCACAATACGAGAAATGTACATACATTTATGCAGATTTTTCATTATTTAATTTCTTCAAATATAATGCAGGACTCTAACATTTTGTGGCAACAGTTTGAAAAGTGAACCGAAATTTATGAGTCCGACGCAAAATGCCAAAACGAAACTAATAGTCCTTCGGGATTCAAATCCCTTTGGACTAAAAAGAGGTCCGTCTTACAGGCCTGCAAATACGTTATATGTGTGTGTGTAATAATGTTGAAAGACTAAAGACTTGCAGTCATGGCTGATAGAATAATTCTTTTATTTCTTGATAAAACGGTGCTTTTGTTGTAGGAAAGCATTTTTGATGAAGACATTGATAAAAACTGTTGCTAAATTTAAGACATATTCGCAATAAATCAAGAAAACAGCTGGCAGCAGACTTGCAAGCGGCAAAATTACTTGAGATGAAAATTCCTTTCAGAATAATTTAGATTTTGTTTAGTTTCATTCTCATCCCTTTATTTTAAGTTTCGATTTACAGATTTGAAATTATTATTGGTTGAAGCGTTACTAAAGTATCTTTGTCATTAGTGTTAACGCAAGAATTAAGTGAGGAAAATTAAATATGAAATGAGGCAGTTTAGAGAGATTGATTATGAGGAGTTACTGTTTTTAGAATATCAGAAGGAAGTGATCAAATTAAAAAGAGGACTTAAGAGGCTATTAAAAATTAACATTACTATTTTTTTAGCCCAAAGGGGCAATTCACCCAGAGGGGTTATTAATTTCGTTTTGGCATGTTGCGTTGGTTTATTATACCACGTTTAACTTTTCATATTATTCCTACCAAATATTAGAGCCCTGCAGTATACGTAAAGAAATTAAATAATGAAGAATCTGCTTAAATGTATTTATGTTTCTTGCACTGTGAAAAAACAACAGCGCCTAGAGACATTAAAATTTAATGACGTAGTCCTCCACTCCAGTGTGGGCATCTGGAAGCTCAAATTTGAAATTTGGAATTTTTTTATTATCGATTTCATATTTTGTAAAACTAAACGACTTTTTGTTTAACAAACTCAACGATTTCAAAGCGAGCAGTGGCAACACTATACGAAAACACACACTCGCACATTTTTATCTCCAGCACGCGAGACTGTTTATCGGAAATTCCAAAGATATGCTTTTTTTAAATATTTTGTGATGTTGCTGTTGAATTGTATTTTATGGTTTTAAGCGCGAAGAAAATGATATTTAATGAATAAAGGGGTGTAATATAAAATCTGAAAGCTTTGAGATTTTTTATTTTTATTTACTTATATATTTTTAAATATTACATGGCGTGTGATCTTGCGTAGCACTGTCTGAGAAAACCTTAAAATACGCGCGTTGAAAATAAATCAGAACTTATTTCTTGTTAACATATCATGTCATGTGTTTTGAAGTGCTGATAGAAATCTTGCAGATTTGAAGGCATAAGATGAAAATAGGGATTTGTGATGTTTAATGAAGCTTTTTGATTATTGAAACTTGAAATTTAGGTGTTATTAGTTCCGCCCGTTTACACAAAGAAGACTCAGAAGATTTTCGAATACTTATTTTGTGCCCAAATCTGCTAGTAGAATATTATCGCTTCTTTAATTTATTCCAGTAGACTAGAATGGTTTAGAAAATCTTCAAGAATGAGGAAACTTGACTGTGTCAAACATTAACCAGCTTTACTTTTATGACCTTGATGAAAAATAGTTATTCATGCTTTTATCATCTCATCCCATTGTTCTTTACGATGATCAAGATCTTATGAAGATAACTTTTTCCGCATATCATATTTATGCTCTCAGTATCCCATCTGTCTTACTATTACAGATTTTATCTTCTTTACGAAATTTTTGGAAGACAACATTCTTGGCGCCAAAAACAGTCTGCCTGATATATAAACCTGTGTCTCCGAGGTGAGATAAATTGTAAAACAAAGAGTGGGTGTTTTTCGCATCGCCACACAGAAATTTGGCAAGTATTTTGAATCGCTGCGTCAAGTTTCCTTTTCACAACCGCAAGTGAAATAGCCAATTCATTATTGCTGTTTGTATATATATCTAATTAGGTAGCATGCGATTTCTCGTGTTGCTTAGCATTCTGTTAGGATATATAGATGTTTCTATGTGTTGATAAAAGATAATATTGGTTCAGAAATTTTTAATGCTTTTTTTATGAATTTCTTAAGAGTTTTTATGAATTCCTATTATTTGTGATCCAGACTTTATGGAAGGCGCGGTCATTGTTTATTTCTGATTGTTCGTTTTTAGATAATTAAACGGGACGGAAAGATTATAATTCAGAAAGCTAACAATTAATTTTATAAATGTGTTGTTTCCTAGTCTTATATTATTGGTCGGAGGTAAGAATTTTAATAATCCCTGCCAATATTTTTTTTTTAAACTCATGTATTGATTCAGAAAGCAGCAGTTCTTTTCACTGTAAGTTTTGCCTTCACTGTTGTTTAATTACTGTGATTTTTTAGTTTGTAGCTGTGTAAATAATCCACCTTTTACTCCAGAATCTGTAGTATGTAATCCCCCCCCTGTGTATTTTAACCACAAAATTTAAATTAATGTTATTTGTATTACCGTAACGTAAAAGTGATGTTTTTAGTTTTGAATTTTACAATGATAGCCTCACTAAAGTAGTAGTAGTAGTTTTTTTAAAACTCAGCTAATGGAAAAACTAACTAGTGTGTTCCTGTGAAATACACTGCTTATCGTTAATTAAGGAAAGATCACAAAAATTATGATTACTCAAAGAGTTAAATGTAGAATTTAATGAAGCTGATATAGTATACAACACATAGTAAGGTATAAAATAACATGAAAAGGAAATTACCAGACAATTATGGTGTTATAGAAATTAGCATATGCATATAAAGAACAAATCGGGTGTGTCAGTTTGGTATTACCTTCAGTATGGAATATGATCTACCCTAGAAACAATGCAACACATACAACGATATGCGATGCTATCAATTATGCAGTCTATCAGTTCCATAGGAAGTGAGAGCCATTGATTTTGCAAAGCAGTTACAAAGGTCTGAAGAGGAGGATTGAGAACAGCTGTACATGCTCGATAGCATTCAGATCCGGTGATCGAGTTTGCCATCCATTCGCTGAATCGTTTGCTGCTGATGATAATCATCCACAATGGGAGCCCTCTACTATCTATAGTTCTCGTCCTGTAGCAGGAAATTATCGCCTATTGCCCGGCATAATAGCGCACATAAGCACCGAGGATGTCATCTATGCAGGCCTGAGCATTCATGGTTCCACTTGGAAAGGCATGGAGGTCTGTGCGTCCACCCAAAAGGATGCTAAATACAGACACTACCTCCTCCGTATGCTTCTCTTTCACAGATGTTTGATAGATCCAAATCAAATAAA